CCCGAAACGTCAGCTTTCCTGCTTCCCTGATGCTGCTTGGCCTGCTGTGTTCATCCAGCTCTACACCTTATTGTCTCAGATTCTCCAGTATTGGCAGTTCCTACTATCTCCAGATTATTTGGTTCTTTTTACATCGGTGTTTGAGGAGTTTGGTGTGCGCAAATTGAATTGTCCCATTTCCTGCACCATGGCAATGACTATCATCATGAAAGGTATATAAGTGGATACCTTAGTCTACTTTTACAAAAAGCCACTCTGATTTCTGTGCTTATGTGTCCTGTAATTTTATCAATGTAATAATCAAGATTCACAGAAAGTTTGCATGGATACAACAATCCTACTCTTAGCATTTCTATAATCTGCTCACCCTACTGATATGTTCTCTTTATCAAACTGAAATAGTCTTCTTTGTTAATATCGCTGCTCCTCCTCCTGTTCTAATGTACACATCTATTTAAAGACCTTATAACCTGGAATATTTATCAGTCAGTCGTCTCCAATTTATAGCCAGTTCTGAGTGATCACACTGCAGCGTAATGGATACTTGAGAGGTGGAATGACTTCCCTCCTGTTATTAACTCATATGCTTGTATAAAATATCCTGGAAACCTTTCAGCTGAGTTGCATGTCTAATTCACTTGTGTTGCTTACTTGCCTTGGGTTGGAAACCTGAAACTTTTACTCTATAACATTTACGGTGACAAGCCACAAAGGCTGCCATTCTTTGTTAATGATTGGCTCATTGCGTGACAACCCAATGAAAACCCTTTGTCTCCTTCTCTGGTCCCCAGCACCTTCCGCCTATCGTACTATCCTCACCGCGTGGATGCCTTCACAGAGCTGCTGAAGAATGCTTTCCAGGGGAAATGTCAGCACAACCTGTACGGTGACTTCAAACCCTACAAGACAGACCAGGGTTACGTTCCGTGCTATTTCATCCATGTTGTGAAGAAGACTGGCTGAACACTGTTTCTCCAGAAAGCTCAAGACTTTGACACTGGGGCTGATAGGGTTAGGCGATATGTAATTACAGAACAACAAGAACAATGAGAAAAAGGAAATGCATGGAGGGAAAGAGTAAGATTGAAAACAGGAGCGGGAGGTAGAAAACATTATTGTTAGCAGAGTGTAGGTTCATGTCTACTAATTAGCAACTGGTGTGGATCACAGATGGGAAGGATAACCACTATAATTATATTGTAATTTGTAAAAGCGTGACTGAATGTGTCAACTGTTGTCCCTGTATTAGACCCAGACCCAGACTCAAAGTTGTCAATATTGACCAAATGTTAGGAGTGACATTCATGTAGACCAAAAGGGCCCCTGTCTCCTGAAAGTGGCATGCAGCACATCGGTGGTCACCATAAGCCTCTAAAGCCCCTGGCACTGTGTCCAGGACCATTAATCTGAAATCAGAAAGCCAAGGCAGACACGCACACATCCATTGAGCCCAGTGAGATCAGCCTGTTTAACAAAGGGGCTCCTATGTTTTAAATGATTAAAGCAGCACCTAATGAGAGCACCACAGCAATCCTGTGGCTCCGCTTTTGTCGTCCTGTGAGTCGAAGGAAAAGATTCAAGACACTGGCTATTCACGACCTGAAAACCTCACCCTTGTGCCCCAGGCCACTTCAGAAAAGCAAACGCACTATTCCTAAATGAGGGGAGCTCTTTTGAAGGTGCTGCTTGATTGGCTGTTGTGAGAAGAAGAAATATACTCAGCCATAAAGTTTACCAACTCGTATTGTAGAAGAGATACAGATGAGTAAAAACCCAGTGCCCCATCTTCGTTCGTCCATCCAGAAAACAATCTTATGCATCACCCATTCAACTGCTTCTTAGACAGTTCCTGGGAATTTTATCCTAAGTATCTCATCTGATAATTCACTCCTAAATGTTACTGGCTGTTTATGTCATAAATTTCATGACTTCAATGTTAGTTTATCACTTATTCCCCAATCACTACCTCAAATGTTTCTAAAGTTATTCCTTTTCCAGCAAAGAAGCCAAGGTTTCTGTTGGATTTCACGGAATCCCTATGCAGAAAGAACCCATTTGGTCCAATGAGGCTGTACCAATCCTCTGAAGAGTATCCACCCAGACCCCAACCCCACATTCCCCCTGGCTAATCCACCCAGCTGGTACATCCCTGGACATTGTGGGGCAATTCACCATGGCCAATGCACTTAACCTGCCTATCTTTGGACTGTGGAAGGAAAACAGAGCACCTGGAGGAAACCCACGCGGACACAGGGAGAATGTGCAAACTCCACACAGACAGTCACCTGAGGGTGGAATCAAACCTGGGTCCCTGGCACTGTGAAGCAGCAGCTCTAACCACTGAGCAACTGTGCTGCCTGGATTTACTTATAACTCAGCCTGTTTTCCCTAGGGATCAAACTTGAAAGTATCCTTGGATTAAAACCCTCCTCCGTTTAGCTTTGCGATTAAGACAGTGCTTAAGGTTTGGCATGGTCACCACAGAGAGACACAGTGCAGCGTGACAACTTCCAGTTGATTGTATGGGTTTGGCTGACCTGTCGACAGTAACTTTTCTGCACCTTTCCTATCTTAGGGGAAGGTTTGAAAATGTAAGATTGCGAAGGCTTGCAGAGTCAAATGAGAATACGCACTTTTTAAGCTGTTGACCATGATTATTATTAATATTATTACTGTTTGTTGTTATCAAAATATACAATGACACCTCTCAGGCATATACTCTAACCTGATTCATTGTTCACAAGTGAGTATATTTGCTGCATATATCGGAGTTCTTGTTTCTGAATATAGTTAACACAAGCTGTGGTTAATGTCTGGTTTCTTTAAAAGCAGATCCTTTATTGTTCAGTTTCTATTCCTCTGGTACTCTGTAGAGCCTGAGGTTATATTATTTGGGCCTGGGCTGTTTCCTCCCTTACCTCTCCTTCTGGCTTAACCAGAGCCTCTGGACATTGGCGCTTCCCAGTTGGCGAGCTATCTGTTAGGACCCAGGGAACACAAGCAACATGCTTACTGCATTGCAATAAGGCTTAAACCCCAAAGCTGGTTTGTGCCTGCTACTCTGAGTATTCCGGGGATCCACTCCCAATTTGAGTGTTTTGAATGGCATGCTGTATTCGATTCAGTAAAGTGGGCTGAATCTGATGTAGTTAACAGCCTTTGCGCAGTGTGGGCATTTATCTTATCGTGCTCATACTATGACCAAATGTAACTGAAGCGTTTGAAACAAAAAGTTACTGCAGTCCCAGAGGGCCATTCTATCATCAGAGAGTGACAGCTGATGGTGGGTTTAACCTGAGGGTTACCACATCTCAGACAAGGGGCAACATTGAGAACGCAGAACCTTAATGTTAATTTCAGCCAGTGTGGGAATTGAGCCCGTGCTAGGGGTGTTACTCTGCATTGCAAACCTGCCATCCAGCTAAAGGAGCTAAGAGAGGAATGCAAAGCAGCTATTAATATTTATGGTTGGCTTCAATGCTGCCAGGTGGAAACAGAAAACTGAGCAAATCCGGACATGGGTAAAATGATATGAAATAAGAAAAAGATGTTGGGGGAATAAATCATTTTATGTGACACAGCTTTTAAGTTTAAAGGGCAGGACTTCTAGTTGCCAGCTGTGAAGAGGTAACAGAAAAAGTAAAGAATGTGAAAAATAGCACACATCCTGGTGACTGGGAAAAATAGCAAAGAAATCAAGGCACTAATGAATAAGACGTACAGGAAGGAAGTAGGAAAATAAACTTGCCACAGGCAGTAAAATCAGCACAAAACCCTCTCACAGCTACATTTGGGAAAGTAGAGGGTTCACTGACAATACGAGCCCTAGAAAAGAGATCGCATTGATCTTAGCAATGAAGAAAGTTGCAGACAGATGTTATAATGTCTTTGGGTCAGTATTTATAGTCAACACAGGGCTGGACATCACTAGGAAACAAAGATAGAATGGGGCACAGGATCTCACTCAAATTAAACTATGCAAAATAATGATGCTGCAGAAATTAATGGCAGTGAAGAGTGACATGTTCAGGATTAGACGGACTCACGATTTTGAAGAAGGTAGGTGAGAAAATGGCAGATGCCTCACTGGTAATTTTCCAAAGTTCCTTTAATTCCATATCTATTTGATAGAACTTTTTTTATAATTCAAGTCGATGGAATGAGAGCATCACTGGCTGGATCAGCATTTATTGACCAATCCTGATTGCCCAGATAGGCAAGCAAGAGCCAAGCATATTGCCATGGGTCTGGAGTCACATGTAGGCCAGACCAGGTAAGGATGACAGATTTCCTTCTCTGAAGGCCATTAGTGAACCAGATGGGTTTTATTTTCCCATGACAATTAACAATGATCATCATATTAGACTCTTCATTCCAGGTTTTTAATTTATCTACTATGGTGGGATTTGACCCAGTCCCCAGCACCTTACCTGGATCTCTGGATTAATAGTCTAGCAATAATATCGCCAGGCCATCAACTTTACAATTGTCACTCCATTCTTTGAGAAAAGTGAGAAAGGAAAACCAGGGAATTGTAAGACAGGTAGCCGAGGAGTTACTGTTGGAAAATTATTAATGTCTACAATGAAGCTAAGGTTGACTGAACACCTCAGAAATTTCAACTAGGATATGTAATGTAAAGGTGAAGTTGTCATACACTTACCAGACCATTGGGCTGCTCTCACATTAGTGAGAGTCGACCAGTGGTGGTTTAACTTGAGGGTTACTGTGCCTCAAGTGAGGGTAAAGGTTGAGAAGGAGATTCCTTCATTGTGGCCTCAGCCAGTGCAGAATTGAACCCATGTTGTTGGTATCACGCTAGACACTACCCCATTGGGTATGGGTGACAATGTCCTCGCTAAATTCCATAGTAATTTCACTTGAGAAGGTGTTGATGAGCTGAGTTGTTGAGGACGTAGGGTGGGGGGAGTGGAAATTATCACGAAGGAAGTGGGGAAGCAAACAGAGTGGAAATAGGTGGCTGAGTAGAACATAGAACATAGAACAGTACAGCACAGTACAGGCCCTTTGGCCCAAGATGTTGTGCCGAACTTTTACCCGAAACCTAAGGTCTATCTAACCTCCACAGCTACCTTATACTATCAACCATATGCCTATCTAATAGCCGCATAAATGCCCCTAATGAGGCCGACTCCACTACCCTCTGCGGCAATGCATTCCATGCCCCTACCACTCTCTGAGTAAAGAACCTACCTCTGACGTCTCCCCGATATCTACCTCCACTCACTTTAAAACTATGCCCCCTCATAATAGCTACCTCCACCCTAGGAAAAGGTCTCTGGCTGTTCACTCTATCTATACCTCTGATCATTTTGTCCACCTCTATCAAGTCACCTATCATCCTTCGTTGTTCTAAAGAGAAAAGCCCTAGCACTCTCAACCTTTCCTCGTAAAACCTTCCCTCCATTCCAGGCAACATCCCGGTAAATCTCCTGCACCTTTTCCAACACTTCCACATCTTTCCTGTAATGAGGTGACCAGAACTGGACACAATACTCCAGATGTGGCTGAACCAGGCTTTTGTATAGCTGGAGCATAACTTCACGGCTTTTGAACTCAATCCCTCTATTAATGCAAGCTAACACACCATATGCCTTCTTAACAACCCTATCCAGCTAGGTGGCAGCTTTCAGGGAACTGTGGACATGAACCCCAAAAGGCTGGCTATTCGCACCGACATTGCACTGGTCCTGAAAGAGGGATTCCTGCATCTTGTGGGGCCTGTATTCATGTTTTCAAAGCATCAGAAGGCATGAGGCAGCATGTCGTGGGCTTCTAGCGGCCCCACACAGACTTGCCTTCATTGCAGATAAAGGGAACTGCTGCTGCCTGCCTCTGTCATGCATTAGTGGGATA